ACACAAACTCACACACACACATTCTCATTTTCAATCTCAAACAACAACTTTGAACAGTTCCTTTTTTTTACTCTCAATTTTATACGATTTTAAAATGTTGGCAAAGTTCAAAAAAAAAATCATGGCCGACGCATTGGTAGAACGGTATTACATTACTATGCTTTTATCATGGTAGAAAGCATAGAAAATTTCTTAAGAACTTCGTACTGCTTAAGAAAATTTAGCTCAATAAATTTTTTTTGATCATTTCTTGGGCTTTTTTACTCGTCGAACTAAAGAAATGTTTACAAATAATAACATAAAAAACAGATTTGGTTTTTATTAATCCCTAATTTCAATTGCATTTCTGATTGGACACAAAAACTATGGGAAAGCATTGGTGTTGTTGAAGAGATTTACATAATTTATCCCAAATGGAGAATAACGATATTAAAAAAAATTTAAAACGACCAACGCAGATCTCCATTATTTGAGAATATCAAGTAACACTTGTATGTCCATTGAAAATTTTCAATCCTTGAGATAAACTTTTTTATTCAGTTTTAGAGATTAAACTGAATACGTAAATATGTTTAGCTTTTTAAATTAAACTTTCATTATAAAGGTAGGTCTCTATGGTACTTAAAAAACTATATTTAATGCAATGGGGCGTATTCATAGTCAAAATTAAGTTGGCACTTAAAGTTAGTTGCAGCTTTTTGAAATAATTTTGGTTGGGTATCTGTCAATAAAGTTACAACCAACTTTAAGTACCAACTTAATTTTTACTATTAGATTTTTTATCTTTTTCAAAAAAGGCGACTATCGATAGATTATCGATAGTTTAAAAAAAAATATGCCCACTATCTATAGTTTTCCACCACTACTTATAAGTATGAAATTTGTGAGCGAAACAAAAAAAAAATCATTGTACTTGATTATTTTTTACCCCTAAATTCACAATTTCAAATCGATATAAAATGGAAATGGGAACCAACTTTTACAGATTCTTTGGTATTTATTCACAGATTGACCTCTTATAATGAATGCAATTGGTCTCTTTCTCATCACTTTTTGAGTGTTGCACTGTGTAATTATCAGCGCTAAAAATAAGCGTTTTATTTTATTTAAGGCTAATTAACAAGAGAATTCAAAATTTTTTAAAGAAAAATATTTTCGTGAATACTCACTGTAAAAAAGTGCCTTTAAAGATTCGATTATCCGTAAATTTTTCAATAATTGCAATTAATTATTTTTTGCTTGTCATGAATCATATGAATAATTAATCGATTATTTTATTTTTTTCCCATCCCTAGTTATGTATTAAATGGAGCTCGTTGGAATAAATTACACAAATTCAAAAGTTGAACGTTGAATGAATTTATTGAATATTTGGATAGCGATTCATATAATATTTTACGTAATCTAAGATTAATGTTACTTTTCTTTGCAGTAATGAATACATATATGTACGTACATTCGTACAATAAATTTCTGGGAAGGTAAAGCGAATGGCGATTAATAGAACATAATTTAAATTTCTTATTAGAACAGTCATTACATTTTAATACTGTTTGTTAACATTAAATTATATGTATATAAGAGTATTGTACATAATTATATTACAGAAATATATGTACAGTGGCTCAAACAAATTACCACGTGTTGATTTTTTTCAATATTCGTAATGCTTTTCCGAGATAATTTTTTTTTTGTTATCTTTATATAAAGTACCGTGCACGCTTTAGCCAAAACAACATAAAACACAGTTTAAGACTTTATAAAAAATTTTGGAAAATTCAACAAATTTTCATCAAAATTTTAACTTCTTTATCTGATTCTTTACAACATTTTCCGGTATGTAGTTTGAGTATGCAGCTTTATAGCTCATATAGTCTAATGAAGCAAGTTTCAAACGGTTAAAAAATCCCATTGATTTTTAACAATTTTTTTTTGTGACCGATTTTTGTACCTTTTTCCATATAAGACTGCATTTATTATGAAATAAAATGCGGTAGACCATTAACAACAAAATTTCAATATAGTTTGACACTGTGATATGTCTTTGGTTAAAGCTTGGATGATATTTTTTTATAGAAAAATACCAAAAAAAAAATATAAATCGAAAAACACTACGAATATTAAACAAAATCAACGCGTGGTATTGTTTCGAGCCACTGTATGTATATATGTACACATAAAGTGTTCATTAAATCTGAAATAGTCTTTGCGGGTCAGCGTGAAGGTGACATTGCCTTATTTACTAACTAACGATACAACCTCTTAAACGTCGTAAAAAACTTAATTTGTGTAAGTTGTACTTAAAGAATCGATAAAAGTATGAACCATAACTATCAAGTGCATTAATTTGTGCCAACAATTTAAAAATCTACAAAACCAAAATATGAAAATACATCAATTTTTTTCTTATTGTTTTAACTGCTTAAATACAACTTAACAAATTTTCAGGGATTGCTTCTGTGGTGATATCTTAATCAACTTTGATGGAAACGAAAATTTTCCATTAACGAGATGTAAAATTTTAAACACAAAAAGGAAAAATGCGTAACGGTAAACATGCATGTCGCTACCTTAACATAGAAAGGCCCTTACAAAGCTGAATTTCGAAAGAAAATTAGAAAGGGACTTTTCTATATTAATGTAACGATATGTGCATCTTGTTTAACTGTGAACGCGGCTATCCATATATGTATACATACATATGTACTTGTATGTATGTGTTTTATTTTTTATGCATACATACATGTCTAGTGAATCATGGACTGGAGATTCCATTGCGAATTTCACGCGAAGTCGGCAGTTCTAAAATAGAGAAATGCATTGACATCTCAGCTTGTTACTAAAACTTATTAAATTTTTGGAATTACAATAATGCATGATAGAAACCTTCAACGTTCAATTCGTCCGCCATTGGGTTTTTGACGTTTGCTAGCATTTTGAAATTACTCTATCGAAATGAGTCTAATGTCAAAGAAATTCAAAAAAATAAACAAATGAAAATTTATGATTTGAAATACATATTTATTTATTCAGAAGTTAGAAAAACTAAAAAATTTGTAATCGAAAAATTAGTTGCTGCTTTAACGGCTGCGGAAATTCCGTTGTCCTCTGCAAGCTAAGCAATATCAAGTTGTTTAAATTCGCGCATTTACCGTATAAAGGCAAATATGGATCGTGGCTTGTGGTGTTATGAAAAGGGATTTTTGAACTTTGCGAAATAGGGGCCGATTAGTACCTTTTTTCATTTTCTTTTTAACCGACTTCTGTACAACTCAAAGCTTCTTTACAAGCAAAAATATGACATACATATGTACGTTCATGTAGTTTGATTTTTCATCTGTCACTTGCGTTTATATCGCCGTGGAATCACCCATATTATATAGATTATTTTTAAAAAGAGTTATGGTTATGTAACAAATATCTTATATATTGATATTTCTTAAATTTTTATATTCAACACCAACAGCCGGTTTCACCAGCAATTTAAATAGAAAATGATTTTTTATTTTCTGTCAATTTCCATATAAAATTCAAAAAATTAAAATCATTTTTCACTTGAATTGCTTTCGTGAAATTGGCTGATAATAGTATTCTTATGTATGTATATGTATAGTACATACATGTATGTATGCATGCATGCATGTAAATATGCACCGTATATTTAGTTCATCCATGTGTAAAGATAAGCACATAAAGATAAAATCAGCATATATCTTTAAATCTTAAGAATAACAAAATAACTATAATGATATGATTAAACTTTTATTGTGATAACGATCCTTATATCAAATTTCCACTAGACATTGAATTGACAAAAAACTAAAAAAAAAATACCATACGGAAATGAACGAATCAAGGCGTATTTAACAGGTGATAGCAGCACCCTTTCGCCTCACGGCTTCATATGTCAAATGGCTGTTGTTGATTGGTTGGAGCAGTTGATTGTTTATTGTTTTTTGTTCTCTTTCACATCATTTCTATGCAATTTTTGACAGTCCTCGCCGCAAAAGCAAAAACAAAATACATGTACATTTTGTTGTTGGCGTACCGATACCACCTTATTGAATACGCCTTGGAACGAATCGTTTATGTTTTCAATGCTGGATTTTGTTATAAAATTGTTTCTAATTTAACGCTAAGTGGAAATCGGACATGTGTATGAATGACGTACATAGCGCAATGCATCAATGATCAATAAACATTTTAATTACTGTATATCTTAAAATTTTTCGTATCACAGTTTCTTCGCCTAAAATTGTAAATGTATTTGCTTACTATTTGAAAACATACAAATTTTGTTCATACATAACATATTAAATATAATTTAGAATCGAAAAGAAGAGCTAAAGGATGATTCATTGTATACACTGCGTACATTATTAAAAAAGGATAAGTTAGAGTACATATTCACAAATATATTTTTCGGCTATTAAGCGAAAGGAATATTAAATATGATGACAAACGAAAATAATAAAAATCATGATAAAAATATATGAATTCAGTCTGATATATATAGTTCTAAAACATGGCACTTACATACAAAGTCAGACATAAACGAAGAACTATTATTTTACCACTTTTAGTCTATGACGTTAATAAGAATATTTGTGCACTTCTTGACACTACATCGTGTTTTTTTTTTTTTTTTTTTTTTTTGATTAATTATTGCAAGCGGTTTACTATGTGGAAGTGAAATATTTTACTATTTCTTTAAATATACATACAAGCGTATTTATAATCTACATTTTCCAACTTTCATGTTGAAATTGCACATGCGCGTATTTGGCGGTTTTAAAAACCATTGGAATACATTTTTTTTTTATCCTAAAAATATACGTTCGCTAACATATTGTAGAAAGTGTGAAGTAACCTTAATTTAGAAATGTAATTGATAACACTAGTTTACAGCAAAAATGTTCAATGGATGTCACTATCGAATTTCTATGTAGAATTGCTCGGTGTTTCCGAAAATCGA